TCTTATTTCCTCTTTCACTACTTCCCCTCTTGGCTTTGCTTTTGTGCTGATTTACTTTGGATTTTTATTGGTTCAACAGAAGAGAAAGAGAAGGGAGGTTGATGATTAGAATGAGTGATTTTAGAGAGAAAAAGTAGGTTAAGAATTGGAGATGGAAAAAAAAATTTGGGTCTGAGATTTTGATATGGTGAATTGGAGAGAAACAACAATCATTTTTTTCTTTTTTTTTTTGAGAAAATATGATGATCTTAGAGAGTTTGTGAGGAGTTGGGGTTTTTTTTTGAAGAACCATGGAGATGACAAGAAAGAAGTTCCTCCTTTGATAGTTTTTTATGTGATTTCAACAAGGTTTTTTTTCATTTGAATGGAGAAATTGATTTGAGGATAAAAAAGAAAAAGAAAATAGAGGTGAATAGGGTGGAGCCGCCGTCGCTGCAATTACCGGCGGCGGCGGTGGGAGCAAAGATCTTTTTTTAGGTCATCAAGAGCGGTAGCTCTGATACCATGTTGAAATATTGAAATAATAATATTGCTCCCTTGAATTATTAAACACATGATAGAGTATATATAGGAGAGATTCCTAATACAACTAGGAATAGAGAATGGAAACTAACTAACATACAACATCTACTACAAATAGGATTAGGAAGCTGACTAATAATGAAACACTACCATAACTAATACTACCAGAAGTAATATTAGTTTATTGTCTAACAGGACTAATTATAGAATTATATATTTGTTGAATTATATGTGGTTTTGATGGAGAGGACATGCATGCAGGTGTTTATAAGAGGGAGAAGATAAAAATGGAAATAGACAAAGAGAAGGGGAGAGTGAGTGTTGTAGGAGAAGAGAAAGTGGAGGGGAAGTATAAAGATGTGTGGCTTCGGTTCGAACGGGTTTTCGAAATTCCAAAGGATTGTGTAGACATGGACAGAATTTATCTCGATGACACACTTATTTCTCCCGGATCATTCGCCATCCTCACCATTAACATCCCAACTAAATATCACCCAACAGAAGAGAAGAAGAAGAAGAAGAAACCCTGCAGAAACCCACAGCAATTGATGATGGTGGTGGAGAAGCGGCGGCGGCGGCGGCAGCCACTGATGGGAGCAGCCCTGAGAAGCATTCACTGTTGCCAGCTGATGACTCGACAAGAGATCATGAAAACTGTGCCGCCGATAATAAGAGAGACAAGGCGGCGGCGCAACCAATGCCGCCGCCACCGCTGACCCTCGGAAGTGGCCTGATGAATGCCTTTGTCGCTGTGCTTGTCATTGTTGAGCTTGCCCTTTATTTATACCATTATAAATCTCTTTAATTATATATATATATATATATATATATATATATATATATATATATATATGTATATATATATATATATATTATTGAGCCAATATGTTCTCCATATGTACTGTGCCAAGTGCATGCCATGAAATATTGACATTGTTGTGAGATTTCTATTCACCCAAGCCCAAGCATATATATATATATATATATATATATATATATATATATAAAACCTAACTTATTTTATTTATAAGATTTAATACTTCATTCCGTTCTCAAAATAAGGCTCTTGTTCGTTTTAACATATTTGAATCAAGTTATTTTCAAATTAGTTAAGTAAAAATTAATAGAAAATAAAAAAATTATAATACTCTAGAAAGAATTGCATCAAAAGTTCTACAAAACTAGCGACTAGAAATTTTTTTGAGGACGGATGAAATACTACGTAAAAAATATAGAGAATATTTTCCCTTGATTATAAATAGTATTCTTTTATGTGAAATTTGCACTGAATAGGATTAAAACATAAGTCATTTCCCAATGTAGGATTTAAACTTTTTTATTCTCTAAATAGGACTTAATAATGTCTAGCGAGAAGGATAATGTCCAAGTGATTTTGGACATTTAGTTGAATAAAGACTAATAGATAATGACCAAAGATCCTACATTGGAAAATAAAAACACATGGTCCTATATTGAGAACGTCATTATGTTTTAGTCCTAATTAGGTAAATTACTCTTCTTTTCTGGACCATGATGCACAATCCTATATTCACATCCGCTTACCAATTAAATATATTTAATTGGATACAAATAATAACATACTTAAAAAATGCATATGTGTTTTGGAGAATTTATCGAAATGAGACTAAAACATACTGACTTTATCAATATAGGACCATAAATTTTTATTTCTTAATGTAGGACCATTGGTCATTATCTATTAGTCATTATTCAAGTAAATGTTCATCATCACTGGACATTATTAAATACTAATTAGAAAATAAAAAAGTTTAAGTCAACATTGGAAAATTACTTATATTTTAATCCTATTTAGTGCAAATTTTTCTATATGTTTAATGTATATAGATGGACATGTACATGTTAATCAAATTTGGACCTGCCCATTTATAGTTCTACTTCACATACATTGTTGGCCTCCGTCGTGGTGCTAGCCCAATATGTCTCGGCCTCAAACTTATTATTCCCAAGGTCCCCAGGACTTCAAAATTATTCAAAGTACTCGTATTTAATAAGGCCCTATATAATAATAGTAATAGTAATAATAATTATAATGGTAATAATAATAATAATAATAGTAATAATGAAAATAATAACAATAGTAATAATAATTATAATTATAATATGAATAGTAATAGTAATAATAATATAATAATAATGTTAATAAAAAGAATAGTAATAATAATATAAAAATAATAATATCATTTTTGTTTAGATCTAATCTGATTAGACCTTATCTGGTCTGATCTAATTTTAATAAGAAGAAATACAAAACAAAAAAAAATAAATTGAACGGCCTAAGTTGTCCCATACTTTAATTTGGTGGCTTTTTCTGGACCAAGTCTTCGAAAATAGTCATACAAAGGTCACTTAAAATTTATACACCCTCCCTCTAAAAACAAGGCCTTTGTTTGAATATGATTGAAATTTTTTTAAATAATACTCCTTCCGTCCCAAAAAGTTCTTCACATTTTAAAAAACTCATGTCCCAAAAAATCTTTTTTATTTCTATTAAAAAAATCACATTTGCCCCTTACTTTTTCATGTACTACCTATCACATTATATCTTTTTCCTTATAATTTACAAATCGCATCCTATTTATACCCATCACATCAAATATATTTTTATAAAATCAACACAAAATTATTTCTCCCTTATTTTATCATATTAGTCAATATTTCTATATCTTTCTGGGACGGATGAAGTATAAAAAAGGGATGAGCCCCATCCCCGAAGGTCCCCTCATACCCGACCGGACGGTCACTGAAAAGAGGTAAATTAGATTTTAATCGCAGATTGGTGGCAAAGAGCGGAGCTTGCATCTGGTACTTGCAGGGGCTCTATGTTTAGTATAATTGTCTCCATGCGCAGTTGTCAAGAATCGAACTCGGGTCTTACCCCTTAGCACGCCTTACCTTGCCAACTACACAACGCCCACAGCGACGGATGGAGTATAAAGAAATATCCCCAGGTAGTTGTATTAATTGCGGTAGGCAGTAGGTAAAAATATTGCAGCAACAAATGAAGTGCGAATGGAAGGTCTTCCTGTGAATGAATGAATTGCATTAATTGAAATTTGATACCCACCTGTAAATCCATGTTCTCCACCACCACCGTTTTTTGCTTTTTTAGGGTCGCACCACCGTTTCGTTACACTTGTCACCATATTCGTTTATTTAATCTTTTTTGGAGTTATTGTACTCCCTCCTCCCTAATTATTTGCAACGTTTGCTTTTTCAGCAGTCGCAGGAACTTTTGTTTAATTCTATGTTTTCATTAGTTATTTGATAAAATAAAATATTCTTAACACCTCTTATTTCGAAGAGCTTTTCATATAGTTTTTTATATGTAAATTTTATTTTTTATTTCTATACCAATATGTAAATAAAATGAATTGAAAAAACTTGATATTTTGCCTCAGGAATATAGGTGTGGCAAATATTTAGGGACGGGGGAGTAACTAATTTTAATCATCAATATATGCATTTCGAAACCCGATTTTTAAATATCACTTTTTTATAATATATTCCCTTCTTTCCAAGTGTATTTGTCCATTTTGTCAAACTGAACAAACTCTAATCGTTAATTACTTTCAATTCTATTGTACATTATTAAAATGAAATATAATTTTAAAATCTTAATCAATGTATATAAATCTAATGAGATAATTTTCATATTACTCCTTCCATCCTATTTCTTTCTTTCACTTTGATTTTCACCTTTTCTAATATAATATTTGACTATTAATATCTCGATATATTATATTTGTGTATACACATATACTCCACATTAAAAAATAATACGCTCTCTGTCCACAAATAAATTTCTCGTTTTCTATTTACAGTGTCACACTTTATTCACTTTGTTGGCCTATTTTCGTCACTCATTTGATAAAATAATATAGTCATGTCACATCTAGTTTTGTAGATTTTTTGATATAGTTTTTTAATATGTAATTTTTATTTTTATATTTTACACCATTTTTCATATAAAATGATTTGAAAATAACTTCGGTTAAACATCTTAACGCGCAACGGAAATTTTATTTGTGGATGGAGGGAGTATTTCAGAACTATTTTTCAGAAATAGTAATTCGTTATTAGAGCACTGGTAATGGTTATGAAGCCCCGGGGCTTCAAACCGGGGTTTTAAACTTTCTCTCTCTGGCACGTCAGCTTTAACTTACACCCAAAATTCATTGGAAATGGGTTTGAAGCCCCGGGGCTTCAAAACTGGGCTTCAAACCTTCATTTTTTACATTTTTAAATATACATCTTCTAAAATTAAATTAATAAAATGTAATTAATTTATTATTTAATTAAATTGAAACACGAATAATAAAAAAAACATACATTAAATAAAAAAACGTCAATAATTTAAAAAAGGATACATTAATTAAAAAAACTAAGGTAAATTATATTTCTCCTTGATCTCTCTCATTCTTTTGGATTGACCGTGTCGCCTTGGTCAACGTGCTTTTGGCTTTGTGGCTTCTCCGGCGTGTACTTTTTTTCTATCCGGACGGTTCCGGTTGAGTCTTCGGAACCGAATCTCGGTCAACGTACCCCGATTGTTGCGTCTCGTACATCGGAGGTCGATCGCCCAACTCTTGGTAATACCACATCGCGGCGTCGACGGGCGGGAGATCGTCGGGAAAGAAGCTGGAGCCGGAAGGATTCATGTTGAAAATTGGGAGGGGGGGTTTGAATTTTGAAATTTAAAAATAAGAAAGAAGAAGAGATTGAAGAGAAGGTGTGAGAGATTGCTTGGGGAGGGTTGAATTTATAGGAATTTTTTTTTTGAAATATGGGCTGCAACGGCTAAAAAAGCCGTTGGGAGGGAGCCCGAGAAGATTCACGCCACGTCAAACGAATGACGCAGGGCTCCTCACGCCCCTTTAACGCTGGCGGGGGGCGGTGTTTCACGCCTTTAGGGCGTTAAACGCCCCCTAACGCCGGTGGGCGTGAGGAGTATACCCAGTGCTCTTAATATTGAATTTAATAGTATAATGCATTTTTCCATAATTAATGATTAAAGCTTAAAAAAGTTAACAACTAAAGTAATACTCCCTCCGTCCCAAATTATTTGCAACGTTTGCTTTTTCAGCAGTCGCGTGAACTTTTGTTTATTTCCACGTTTTCATTGGTTATTTGATAAAATAAAATATTCTTGACACTTCTTATTTCGAAAAACTTTTCATGTAGTTTTTTTATATGTAAATTTTATTTTTTATTTCTATACCAATATGTAAATAAAATGAATTGAAAAAACTTAATATTTTGTCTCAGGAATACAAATGTGACAAATATTTAGAGACGGAGGGAGTACATGAAATTAAGAAAGATATTGGGAGGAAAAAAAGTACATATACATTACATTTTTTATTCAATTAAAGTATAAAATTTATCCAATATGCTAGGCAAATACAGGTGAAGTTTGTATATCGATATATATACTCCTTATAAAAAGGATCTTAATAATACTTCTATTTTAAAATTAAATCCATGTTTCAGTTTACGAGTTTTGATTAACTTTATTTTTTATGATGTAAAATTTGAAGTAAAATTCAAATATCCAAAAATTACATAAAAATATTACAAAATTAAAACTGACGTAATTATATTATTTTATCAAATTAATAAAAATAAGGAAAGAAAGTAAAAAAGCTTGACCATATTAATAGTAACTAAGAAGATATTTTTAGGACAAAAAGAGTAATAGAATACTTGCTCCGTGCCTCCGTCTTATAAAAACATTTCACATTTTATTTTTTGCTCATTGTTTGCCTCCCTAACACTATGTTTGGTTTAAGGAATTTGAAAGAAAAAGAAAAAAAATGAAGTGGAAAACCATTTTTCTTATTCGGTTAGAGGGGAAAAGAAAGGAAAAGTGGAAGAAAAAAAATGAGGAGACAAAATGTACATAGTGGAGGGAAAACCAAATTCCTTCCATTTTAGTGAGAAAAATGAGAGAAACCATTTTCCTTCCAAAATCCTTGAGCCAAACATAGTGTAAAAGAAATCAGGACTAAAACGAAGAGAAATTATCAAAATATTAGTTTCATGTTTTTATTTCATAAATAATACGGAGTAGTTCATATAATGGTAATGTGACACTATACATGTAAATTTTACGTAATGTACATGGTCATAATTGGTAATGTAAACACATTTTAACTACTATTTTGAGAATAAAAACATAAAATTTATATTTTGGTATATTTTCAATGTTTTTACTCTTAATTTAGTATTTTTCTCAATTTCTAATTCAGCATGCATAGAGTCTTTAATTAGCGCGGCACTTCAAGCCTCTTTTCCTTCTTTTTTTTTGAAAAAAAATAATTTTTTTAATGATTTTTTTTGTTTGCCTCGCGTAGAATCCTTGAAAAAACTAGGACTAAAACAAAGAGAAAATATCAAAATAAGAGTTACAAGTTTTTTATTTTCTATATAGAAGTTCGTATTGTGGTAATGTGACACTGTACATGTACATTTTACGTAATGTACATGGTAATGATTGGTAATGTAAATTCATTTTAATTCTTATTTCGAGAATAAAAATATGGAACTCCTATTTTAGTATATTTTCAATGTTTTACTCATACTTTATTCTTTTTCTCAATTCCTAATTGAGCACACCCTCACACATCAAGCCTCTTTTCCTTCTTTTTTTAAAAAAATTATTTTTGTGTAAGAATGTAGAAATAATTTTTTGATGAAATAAAAAAAATATTTTTTTAATTAAAACATATCAAAGTTGATGTAAAAAATGACAAAAGTAATAACTTGTCACTGCGGAGTTTGCCACTCCACCCACGTCTCTTCACTGACTAGACTATGTTTCCTTGATTACAATTTATCACGTCAGCGTATGACATTCCATTTTTGACATCGTCTTTCAAAGTGAAATAAATACTCCCTCCATCCCATAAAGATGAGTACGTTTTGACTAAAGTAGAAATTAAGGGAGAGATAATTTTGGGTTGACTTTCTAAAAATACCTTTGATATGATGGGTAAAAATATGATGTGATGTGTAGATTATTAGGAAAAAAATATGATGTAATAGGTAAGATATGAAAAAGTAAGAGGTAAAAGTGATTTTTTAATAGAAATGAGTAAGGGATTGTGGGACGCAATTTTTTTGAAACGTCTAAATCTTTTTGGGACGGAAGAGGGAGTATTTATGAAATGAACCGTGACTCCCTCCATAAATCTCATGCACCACCTTTTATTTTTGCTTCAACTCCATTCCCAAACTGCAGAACAAGAAATCATATGGATACTCTCCCTTTGTCGTCCTCCACAAACTATGACCTCATCTTCCCAGCCCTCGCTTGCTTCATTTCCGCCTTAATCTTCTTCTTCTTCTCCAGAAAAACGATTTCCAAAAAGAAGAAGCTCAACCTCCCGCCCGGACCTCCCGGTTGGCCGGTGGTCGGGAATCTGTTCCAGGTGGCTCGCTCCGGGAAACCGTTTTTCCAGTACGTGAGGGACCTCAGGGCCATTTATGGGCCCATTTTCACTCTCCGGATGGGGACCCGAACCATGATCGTTATCAGTAGCGCCGAGCTGGTCCACGAAGCGTTGATCCAGAAGGGCCAGGTTTTCGCGTCTCGGCCCAGGGAAACCCCGACCCGGTCCGTCTTCAGCTGCAACAAGTTCACCGTGAACGCCGCGGTCTACGGCCCGGTCTGGCGGTCTCTGAGGCGGAACATGGTGCAGAACGTGCTCAGCTCCTCCCGTCTGAAGGAGTTCCGGCGCGCGAGGGAGGCGGCGATGGACAAAATGGTGGCCCGGATCCGGGCCGAGGCGGCGGCCAACGGCGGAGCGGTCTGGGTGCTGAAAAACGCCCGGTTCGCCGTTTTCTGCATCTTGCTCGCCGTGTGTTTCGGAATCGAGATGGACGAGGAGACGATCGAGGCCGTCGATCAGATGATGAAGAAGGTCTTGATCGTTCTCGATCCGCGGGTGGACGATTACCTCCCGACTCTACGGCCGTTCTTCTCCAAACAGATCAGAACGGCGATGGAGGTCAGAGCAGAGCAGATCGAAACGATCGTCCCGTTGATCGAGAAGCGGCGCCGCGCGCTGCGAAACCCTAATTCGGACGAAACGGCGTCGTCCTTCTCCTACCTGGACACGCTATTCGATCTCAAAATCGAAGGGAGGAAGGCGGCGCCAACCGATGTGGAGATGGTGACGCTCGTCTCCGAGCTCCTAAACGGCGGAACCGACACGACGGGAACCGCCGTCGAGTGGGCGGTGGCGCGGATGATCGAAAAGCCGGCGATTCAATCGAGGCTCTCCTCGGAAATAAAAACCGCAGTCAGGGAGCGAAAGGTCTGCGAGAGCGATCTGGAGAAGATGCCGTACCTGAGCGCCTTCGTGATGGAGCTACTACGGAAACACCCCCCGACGTACATGTCGCTGACCCACGCGGCGATCGAACCGGCGACACTGGGCGGGTACGACATCCCAACGGATTGCAACGTCGAGATCTTCCTGCCGGCGGTATCGGAGGACCCGAAGATATGGTCAAACCCGGAAGAATTCGACCCGGAGAGATTTCTCTCTGGCCGGGAGACGGCGGACATCACCGGGGTCACGGGGATCAAGATGATCCCGTTCGGGGTCGGCCGGAGAATCTGCCCGGGGTTGAATATGGCGATGTTGCATGTGAGCCTGATGATCGCCCGGCTGGTTCAGGAATTCGAATGGTCCGTTTACCCGGAAAACGGCCAAGTGGATTTCAGCGAGAAATCGGAGTTCACTGTGGTGATGAAGAACCCTCTCAGAGCCAAGATCGAGCAAGCAAAAAGGGTATAATTAATTTGTGGGGTATTACGGTTTTAATCTACTTGGCATATGTGTGCACGTGTCATTAATTAATATTAAATTCTACCTGCCCCATTTTGTACCTTTAAAAAAATATCTGTTAATGAGTGATTAGTATGGGGTGGTAAGGCATAATTTGCAATGGCATTTTGATTATGACTACGGTCTCTATTATATCCATCTGTTAACATTTATGATGTGTTGTTTAAAGATGTACTAAGAAAATTATTTTATAATTTTGTCATGATTTAAATTGGATGTTTGCTAATTACAATTTCAAATTTTAATTATGTTATTTACTTATTTTTGCTATGCATTGCATCCCGGAACGTATCCCAAAAATTCTTACTTACATTTTGATGGGTTACATTGTTATTGATGGATACCCAATATTTTCCTAAGGACTGTAGATCGGCCTAGGTCCAAATATAGGTATCCGGGCCTTATAATATTGAAAGATAATACGAGAATAATAATTAATAGTAATAGAAGCACTGCTCACTAGATAATAACTCAAATCGGCGGTCCTCTCCTTTATTCGGTCCTCTTAGGAACGGAATATGCTTGAGGATCGCTAGAATATCTTTTATTATTTACTCACGTATTTTCTCTCCTCATTACCAGATATCCTCCATTCCCCAAGTCCCTCTTTCTTTTATAGGCACTCCCCATCCATTATCCTCTTCAATAATGGCAGTGATTGGGGGAATATTCGTGCCAGCCTTCCTCCATCTGGGGG